GTGCAAGAGCATATTTCTCTAAAAAATTTTGAAATATGAATTGGCTTTCAGTATAGAGATCAACAAGTTGAGAAACAGTCCCAATGCCCACAATGGCAACCAAGGTTTGACACTTGAAATTTGAACTTCGAACTTGTAAATCACAAACATAATCACAAACATAATCACAAACATAAACACCATAACGTACAAGATGCTGTCATATTACTTTATGGAACCTATAGATGAGCAAAAGTAGCATTATGTCCTACCCTAAATCCTTTTCATTACACTTACTGGAAACTCTATAAGCCTTATGCAATTGAGCTGTCTCTAATGCCCTCTCGTTGACCATATCTACCATTTTTGCAAGTTGACCCTTCCTTTGCCTCTAGGCCATTTTTTCCCCCTAAATCTAAAGAGGTTTGACCAATCGCATGCCAAATCCCAAATATGTGAAAGGACCCAAACGAGGGAAAACAAGGATACCGCATTTCCTGAAAACACTAGAGCTGCTTTCACATCTGAGGACTGAAATTCGAATCCTCATTTGGGTTTTCAGTTTCACTTCTCACTTATGAAACACACTCCAATGTTAAACAAAATTAAGAACTATTCTAAAAACATGATTCTTTTTTTCGTTTTTTGGTGGAAAGAACAGTATTTTTTGTATTTAATGACACTATGATTTTTTAATTCAGAAAAAACATTAATCACATCTTTCAATGGACTTCCTTCCCGAGCTAGAGTACCCCATTTGGGGAGTCTCGATTCTAAGCTAGATGGGACCTCCATCCCATATACTTTATCGTTTGATCTTGAACAAATTTGGATCGTACTCCTTTCACATTGGGATCATGATCCCTTTAACTCATGGTGTACAGATCTTGATCCCTACCCCACTGATCTTTGTGCATCTCTCAATCCAGAGATTCCGATCCCAATCCAGGATTTGACCACTCTCCCGATCCCAATAATGATGGGGATGTGATCAACAATGTATTCAATTTGACAACTTATCATTGACTTTAGAATTGAGATATCAATGTCACTTAGTGATGTTTGTTATTAAATGCCATGCTTAAAAATTCCCGTCCCCACTTGGACTTGCCCGAATCACCCAAAGCTGGTGTCTTACCAGTTCAGATGCACCTAACTCGGATTATTGTTTTAAAAAACGGTCTGCCCGACACTTAGGCGCCCGGAGGACCTCAAGGCTCACGCCGAGGGCCAAGCAGCCCTCCTCCCTGGGCACCAGTACTTGGGTGGCCGCCCAGGTAGCCCAGGCAGATGCGTAGGCGAGCACCCAGCACCTAGTCCTAGGCAGGCCCCAAGTACGAGCCACTTTTTTAGAATAAAGTGCCCCTACCTCGAGTCATTTTTGACCCACAATTGTTTCATAAAGGATATTGGGGGTATTCTAAATCGAAGTGAAAAAAAATTGGAATCTAAGACTCCAAATCTATTGATAAAAAAAACTGAGATTTCAAGAAACATCCATACGCTTAACTCTTCATTGTTGGAATTTTTTAGGGTACTAGTGAAGGTATTTGAAGACTTTTTGTCTTGTCCCTTGAGTAGTCCATCCTTTCGTATTTCATATTTGGGCCATTGGTTTTATACTTCGCTTTTGTATTTCATCTTGTCTAGTTGTGATCATATTGATGTGTCAGTATGAAACATGCCATATTCAATTAGGTTTCGATAGTTGGAGGTTAACACACATGGACTTGTTTATGTGTTTTATTTTTTTCACTAAATTTTCAATTATTTTAAGTGTCGATGTGTTTCAACATTCATGCATAGATATTTGCATGGAGAAAGTTAGTTTGAATGCATATAAATGAAAAAAAATATACAAAATTAACAGGACGTGCAATTTTCACCTCGTGGTGCCTGAGGTTTTGGGCAACCACCTAGCGCCCTAGCGTTTTTTAAAACACTAACTCTGACAACCCCAGTCTGTCCAAGTCTTATAGAACAAATATGTGATAATGGTCCAAGTCTAGATCAGTCAAACTAGGGCATTGGTGAGGCAACTTGGAGCTGCCACCTGCCCAGCCATGTGTTTTTAAAACACTCACGAAATGTATAAAACTAGTTTAATAGTATAATGGGCTCCATCCCTCTGAATTTCTTATCTTTCTACTATTTGTCTTTAGCTGGTTTTTGATTTATTAGCCATGCCACCGTAATATAAAGTTTTGAATCCACCAAAGAAAATTTGTAATCAATATTCCAGATACATACAATAGCTAGGACAATGGGGTCCACAAATTTGTAATTCAACCTATCAAATTTAAGAGGTAACCCTTTGGGGGAGAACAAATCAACAAAAACACATTCTACAAAGTTCGTTATGAGTTTTCTCTTTATTCATAATGTCAATCTCTGAAAACGGCTCAAAAACTTCAATTGATGTAAATTAGTGGGTCCATAGAAAATGAAGCAGAAACTGTTATGGAAACTAGACAAATTAGGCATTTATGCAAGAGTAAGATGAATCTTGGTCACCACCATCAAACAAATTTGAGAATAGAGTCAAACAGAAGGAATTCGAAAACTTTGATATCATCATCATCATCATCACCATCACCATCACCATCACCATCACCATCACCATCACCATCATCATCATCATCATCATCCGAGCCTTATCCCAACTATATGGGGTCGGCTGCATGAACCCTTCTTTGTCAGTCCACTCTATCAAGGGCCAAACCCTCAATCAGACCATAAGTCACAGTATCTCTTCTCACTACTTCCAAGATTCCATCCATATCCTTTTGGATCTTCCCCTTGCCTTTTTAGATCCTTCCACTTGAACCAAATTGCCCCTCCTAACTGGTGTTATTCTAGATCGACGCTGCACATTCCTACCCAAGTCTACTTTTCCTCATCTTATTTCCTATTAGAGCCACTCTTAAGGTCCCTCTAATGCATTCATTCCCTAAATTCTATCATTTCTTGTCTTGTCACTCACCGTCTCAGCATCCTCATATCAACTAAACTCATTATATCGATAATGTTGTTTCTTGACCGCCTAACATTCTATCCCACAAGTATGGTTGGTTTTAAGGCTGTCCTAGAAAACTTCTCCTTCAGTTTTATTCGTATGCAGTGATCACATAAAATCCCAAAAGCACATGTCCAATTCGCCTACCCATCTCCACATCCCCCGCCTATCTCCACTTCATCCTATAAAACTTCCCCTTCAGTTTCATTGATAAGCCACGATCATATAAAACTCCAGAAGCACTTCTCCGCATCACCCACCCAGCTCTAATTCAGAAAAATTCAATATATATAATGAAAAGTAGAGATTTTCAATTCACTATTCAACCTGGGAACAAGCTGTCACAATACCTAAGGTGATATTTTGAATGATTCATATTACTACTTTCTGAAAAGAGCCACCAAAGAAAATTTGTAGGCAATGTTCTAGATCATATAATAGCAAGGACAATTAGAATATCCATGCATTTACAATTAAACCTATCAGATTTAAGAGGTACTATAGTAATTGGCCCTAGGGAAGAACAGATTTTCAAAATACATTCTATAAAGTTCTTTATGAGGGTTCACTTTATTCACAATGATAATCTCTGATCACTGCTCATAAACTTTAATAAAGGTAAATTAGTGGGGACATTGAGAACGAAGCAAAAATTGTTAAGAAAAACTACTTGGAACAAAGATAAATTAGGCGTTTATGAAGGCTAAGATGAATCTTGGTCATCAACATCAAACATAACAGACGCTGCAGATCCCAGATCTACAAAAGGGTTAAGTGTGAAACAGAGGGAATTTAGAAACTTCAGAGCGAAAAAGGAAAAGCAAAGATTTCCCATTCACCGTTCAAGTTGAGAACAGGCCGCCACAATCACTACAGTGATATCTTGAATAATTTCTACTCAAAAAAAGATATCTTGAATAATTCACATTAGTACTTCAGAAAAGAGCTGGCCAAAGTCTATATTCTAGAAATAAAACCAGTTGCAGGAAAGATAACTTCCGAAACACCAAGAGGGGTGGGAGGTATGGTCATCTCAAATTCCCAGTACTCCCACCATCCCTGATACAGTGGAATTTTCTTTGGAGAGGAAGTAGTAAATCCCACAAGTTTATGCAAACCGAAAAGGGTAAGAGGATTGGGAAGTAATAGGCTAAGGAGGTGAATAAAGCACTTCTACGGGAAGTGGCTGTGAAACTAGGTGAGGGATGGACCGTGGACAGGTGAAGTTACAGTTGTGTATAGTTTACTGGAGCCTCTTTTCCTATTGGTTTGGTAGATACCAGCATCAAAGAGAGATGTCACCATTGGTTGGCAGGCCCAAATGGAGAGAAAGCACCTTGACTATG